TCTTAAACACCCCCGCCCCTCCTGACCCTCCCGACCCCCCAGAACCCCAAAAACATCCCCAAACCCCCCAAAATTCCCCAAATCCCCCCGAAAACCACCCCCCTCACCCCGCGCCTCCTCGGGCGCCATGGCGGCCTCCGATCCGGAACTACAACTCCCGTCATGCCTTGCGCGCCTCCCGACCAATCACAACCCCTGGGCCTTCTTCCACCAATCAGAGCCCACCACAGCGCGGCGTCTCGGCCAATCAGAGGCCGAGGACGGCTCTCCCGGCCCGTGGCCGCCGCCATGATGGAAAGGTCGCAGCTATTTACCAGGGTTTGGGGGTGTTTTAATGACGCCAAAACGTCCCCAAATTGTCCCGAATTGTCCCCACAGAGTCCCTAAGGGGTCCCTGGGGGTTTTGGGAGTTTTTTTTGGGGGGTTTCGGCTCGTCGCGGTGCGTTGTTTTGGGATGTTTGTTGAACGTACACACTTCCGGTGGGCGGGGTAAGTTAATGAGAGGGCGGGGATATGCTAATTAGGGGCGGCTTCTGTTTAGTAAACGAACGGCGCGATTATTTAATATATTATAATATATATTATAGATTAATTATAAATTAATAAATATTAAAATAGAAATATTTATATAATAAAAAATATATTATAACAAGAATCTTCATAGTATAATAAAAATAATAATATATTGATTTTTTATAAATTAACAAACTCAATCTCCTCAGAGAGCAAAACTCCCTCAGGGACCCCCAAATCCCTTCCAGGACCTTCAGCCTCCTCAGAGACCAAGAAACTCCCTCAGGGACCTCCAAATCCCTTCAAGTACCTTCAACCTCCCCCCTCAGGACACCAAAACTCCCTTAAGAACACCCCAAACTCTTCAAGAACTTTCAATCTCCCCCCTCAGTCCCCCAGAACTCCCTCAGGGACCCCCAAACCCCCTCCAAGAACCCCCCGGGACCCCTCAATCTCCTCAGAGACCAAAAAACTCCCTCAGGGACCCCCAAATCCCTTCAAGGACCTTCAACCTCTTCAGAGACCAAAAAACCAAATTTTCCAACAGGTCTCTGCCCATCAGGGGTTTGGGTAAATTTGGTAAATACAAAACCTGATGCACTCCCTTCTGCTTTCCAATTTTGACCTTTATGGGTTTCAAAAAGAAAGCTTTTTCTGATTGGCCAGTGGCTCCCACAACTTGAACATATTTATCACTTATAGGCCTCAGTTCTTGATTTAAAACAGAAAACGTGGCTCCAGTGTCGATTAAAAAGTCCAATTTCTCCACTTCTTCCCCAGCTCAATTTTAACCAGGGGGTCTGCTGGGGATGAACCAGCCAGTCCCCTTCATTCAGTGCCCTGGTGAGCTGTGACAGCCCCTCCTGAGTTTCTGTTTGCCAGTTTAGGGCAATCCCTTTCAGTGTCCCTCCTGCTGCAATAGGTGCACTGATTTTGTCCCACTCTTGCTTGTTGGAAAGGTGAGCCCCCTCTCCCTCTCATTGCCTGCCCTCTGCCACCACCCCAAATATTTGAATTCTGAGTTAAAACAGCAACCACAACCTTTGTACATTTTCTATCTTCTCTTTTCCCCCTGTTGTTCACTTTCCAGGCTTCATTCATTGACACCTCTAAATCTTTATTAGCAGGGTGATCTATTTTCTGCAACCTTTTTCTCATATCAGGGTTACTTTGTCGCATTAACACCCCCCCCAGTTGTTGTTTACATCTCTGATGATGGATCCAGGGTCGAGTATTTTCTCCTGGCAGCTCTAAGCCTGTCTAAGAATGCCCTGGGGGCCCCATCTTTGCCTTGCATGGTACAAGGCAGCCCAATTCACTGCTTTGGGTGTAGGGGCTTCACAATCCCACCTGGACCAGTCTTCTGGACTGACCCAATAACTTAGAATGGTCAGGGTTGTTCGGGTCCCAGTTAGGTTTTCAAACTGGAAAAATTTCATCTATGTCTCCTCTTAAAACATTTGTTGCAATCTGCCCTTCCACATGATTTCTTGCTGCTTTTATTACTTGCTGTTTTTCTGTTTCTGTCAATTCTGAGAAAATCAAGTTGATATCTGACCAATCTATGTCCTGATTTTTCTCAATTAATTCAAATCTCTTACCCACTGGGTTTGTTCCAAGCTTTGATGAGCCCCACACCCCATACAATAGAAATTCTTCTTATCCCCCTCAAATGCCCACCTTATCTTTCTTTATGACTGCTGGGCTGCTCAAAGAACATCCCCTCTTATCTCTTACTTCAGTACAGTCAGCAGAACAGAACAAGCTGTCTCTGTTATATTTCAACATGACCAGAGCATCTTTGACAGAAGGTGGCACCAAACTCCATCTGAGTTAATCCTTAAAAACCCTACTCTGTTCCATGTACAGGAGCATGGAGGGCTTGCAGGTGACAACTCGGAGGAGAGCACAGGACAAAGGATTTTTGGCATTGATGGGTGGTTGAATGGAGAGAGTTTTAGTGCCTGGACCAAATGAGTGGTCAATCTGGGCATTTACTGCCTGCCAGTGCTCGTCCAGAAAACAAAAAGGGGGAACTGTGGGAAAGGGCTGGGCTGTGGGCAGCTTAGGCCTGGAATTGGAGCAGTTACAGCTATGAGCTTGTAAAGGAATGGAAACATCCAGAAAGAGAAAGCAGAAGAGGAAAAGCTGCAGTGAGTAACAGGTGTTGTTTTGAGATGTGCCAGCAGGCACAAAGACACTGAGCACCTCTCAGCAGATGAGCTGAAGCGTGTCCAGAGGCACAGAGCCAATGAAGAATAACTTGTGTGGCGTGGCCAGGGGAAAAGACCAGAAAAGATCTCTG